GGGGGGGGGGTGAGGTCTTCTAGGAGGTGATTCGCAGAAACTGAGGGTCGTCCTACCCGGATGCGTTGGGGTCACCTTTGTGGTTTGTGTGGCTTTGTAGACCTTAGCTGCTTCTTTTTTCCCAGGGTTGCGGAACGTCAGGGCAGCCATCCTGCTTTGGCCATTTCTGTCCCTAGACCTACTTCCCAACGCCCGCACCTAAGCTGGGTAATGGTCCCGGTATTGTTCCTTTTTCTTTTCTTTTTCCTCTTTTTTTTTGAAAAGTCCAGGTTGTTGTAGAGGGTGGCTACTAGGCATATGACAGGCCCGTCAGCGCCTGACCGTTTGATCACCCCGATGTATTGCCTAACCGGTTCCCTTTGAGGACACCCTCCCACCCTTACTCGTCATCACGATCCCCGGCGCATCCCTACTCCCAAGGTCCTACCTGCCTATTCCCATTCTACTGATCCTTGGCTGGACAGCCGTTACTCCTAGTTTTTACAAAGATTCAAAATAATTGATTTCTGAATTGTACAAAAGGTATTTATTTGTCTAATTTTTTCTTATAAAGAACATCGTAGAGTTACAATACAAATACACACACTTAGTATTTATTTTCTCTATTCTATTGAATAGGCTTCAGGGCTCGGGGCGAGATTCCACTGGCAAAAACCATTGCAACAAGTGTCTGAATCCGGACATGTTTAAGGAGAGGTGCAAAAAACTGTAATTGATCTGCTTTTCTGCATCTCTTCCTGGAACATGTCCCTGATTCAGACACTTACTCCAATCCTCTTTGCCAGTGCGATCTGGCCGTAAGCAGGTTCTCACCTCGCTCCCCAGCCCTGATTGATTGAAGCACACTATCGAACGAGCCACGTCGTTCCGGGCACTTCGAGCGGTAGAGGTAAGCATGCCACTACAAGTCCCATACGCGAACCCTAGCTTTTTCCTGTGTTTTTTTTTTTTTTAGCCTTATCATCATGGGATCCCTCTGGTTATTGTTTGAAATCTTGCGGAGGTTATTCGAACCTAGAGCATTGTTTCTTCCGGGGTGTTTGTTGAGGATTCCCGGCCTCAGATTTTGTGATGATAATGCAAGCCAAATGGGGCCCCTTTTGAAAGGGGGAAGAAAAAGTTTGGCAAAGATATCTCTTTTTTTTTAAGTAAACCAGTCACTGAGTGCACAGTGATCACCTGGAGCTGTGAGCTGCGTGTGTCCTGGAAAATGAGACCACCTCCCATCCCATCCTCACGTCAATACTCCTAGCGCACCCCCTCTCCCACTACACTATCCTACCTCAGTGTGACCAGCACTCAGGACCATTACCCTACCAATGGGCACTGCCAGGCAACTTGGACCGAACAGCAGTGATAGAGCCCTGGCTGGTGGAAGCGGAATCGGATGAGCCTTGTCGAACGGGAACTTCGGACGCCAGGCCCAGACAATCTACTACAGACCCCAAGAGACTCTGGGCCCTAGGTTTCAGACAGGGTGGCACCCATTGAAGCAGTCTTACCGTCCTTCCACTAGCTTACCCAAGGCCAGGCGGAACTCGGACTAGCCTGAGCGACTTATACCCCTACCCTTACCCCAGGGTCTAAGCCTTATATATAGTCACTGGACAGTTCTATTCGAATATCAGTAGGAACTCCGGTGGCCCATACCTGTCCCTAATGCAGATACTAGACCCCATCCAGTGACTAGACCCCCCCAATCTGATAGTTGTGTAGTTCGCAATGTATGTGTATACCCGAAGGCTGTGTATGCTCCGTGTATCTATGTATCAACTTTCAAGATGTACAGACAGCACCATGTGTGGAAACTTGTGTATGTAGAGCCTGTAGGCCATGTATAATTCCCAAGCTATGTATATGCCCGAAGGCTATGTGCGCTCTGTGAATCGATGTATCGAGATGTATAGGCAGCATCATGTGTGTATATCGAAGAGAGAACGGGGTAAGCTGGACAAGGACCCCTTCCGAGGTCCAAGGACCCCTTCCGAGGTCCAAGGACCCCTTCCAAGGTCCGAACCAAGCTCGAACCCGTGACCTTGTAACATGTAATTGAATGACTACCATGTGAACGACTAGTGGAAATGGCACGAACGTGTGATATGCCAGACTAGGGAGATCAACAGAACACCCAAGACCAACACCCCCAAGCAACCCATGTGAAACCCAGAACCAACATACA